TTGCCAAGCATGTGTGAGGCACTGGGTTTGATCCTCAGCACCATATAAATGAAGTTATTTAAAAAAATGTATCAAGGAGCTGAGGATGTGGCTCAAGCGGTTAGCGCGCTCGCCTGGCATGCATGCGTCCCAGGTTCGATCCTCAGCACCACATATAATCAAAGATGTTGTGTCTGCCGAAAACTAAAAAATAAATATTAAAAAAAAATAAAAAAATAAAAATAAAAAAATGTATCAAGGGCTGGGTATATAGCTCAGTTGATGGAATGCTTGCCTTGCATGCACAAGGCCCTGGGTTCAATCCCCAGCAACATACACACACACAGACACACACACATGATCAAGCCGGGCACGGTGGCGCACACCTGTAATCTCAGTGGCTCTGGAGGCTAAGGCAGGAGAATTGCAAGTTCAAAGCCAGCCTCAGAAAAAAGCAAGGTGCTAAGCAACTCAGTGAGACTCCTGTGTATAAATAAAATACAAAATAGGATTGGGGATGTGGCTCAATGGTGGAGTGTCCCTGAGTTCAATCTCTGGTTATCTGCGCCCCCAAAGTATCAAATTACACACTTAAATCTTTGTAGTTCATTTTGTCATTTATAGCTCAGTAAGGCTGTTAAAAAGGTCTTAAATGTTATCAACCCTTAAGATCTCAACAATTCTTTTTTTTTTAAATATGCATATTTATTTTTTTTTAGGTGTAAAAAAATGGACACAACAAAATGCCTTTATTTTTATGTGGTGCTGAGGATCGAATCTGGGTCCCACCCGTGCCAGGCAAGCGCTCTACCGCTGAGCCACAATCCCAGCCCTCAAAAATTCTTAAAAAAGAAAAAAAGATCCACACCAAACCCACAAAAACAAAAACAAAAAAAGAAAACACTCACTTAATGGGCTAAACATTTCTGACTGTGGCCCTCTCAGCATTCCACATATAGAATCTTGAACTTTCAACAACATGCAAATATCTAATTGTATGATCTAAGTGGTGCTGGCCTAACTGAAGAATTATCACCGAGAAAGGAATATATGCTCATTCAGTCTTTGTGTAAGAGGGAAAATAGGGATAATGGACTCCATCTGGCCTCAACTGTGAGGTGAATCTGAAGTCACAACGCTTTTCAAGTAACAGTGAGGACAGTCAAGACCTCGTTCATGTAGAGTGCTCCCCAGTCTGCTCACTCTTGCTCCTAATGACTTTGCATTCTCACCTGTCTTCCATAGAATCCTCACGTCGGTATGGTGAGTTCCTGATTGTAATCTCCATGCGGTGATCTCTCAGCTCCCCCTCCTCAAGGGAATCCCGTTTGGAATCCCGGTCATCAGACTAAGAAACAAAGAGAAAATTAGTCACTTTCTTATAAATGTATTTTTAATGATAACCAAACTTTGTCAACATACCAAAGGAAGCTTTCACGCATACTTTGAAAGGATAAATATTACACAATATAAAAAGTAATTAAAATCCCATGGCATTAAAATTACAACTCTCTGTAACCCAAAACTTGGGATAGAAAATTTAAAACCAGCATACGTGACAAAAGATATTAGACCCTGTTAGTTGCTGAGGCTTAAGCCACATTTTGTACACCAAATACTTCTGATACCTCATATAATACTTATATATACTTTGAAATAATCTGTTCCTGATCTTATCATTAGAGGTTCCTAATGCCAATGCCTCTTATCCAATTACTAAAAATCTTTTGATATGTTATGCAAATCAAGAAAAATACGAAACATTCATATTAATTTTAAGGCAAGTTCCCACTATATTAAAAATACTTGGAAACGGTACTATGAATATGCTAATAATGAAATGAGAAAAGTTAGTCTGTTCACACTAATGATTCTAGGTTCAGAACATTTTATTCTCCACGTAGACATTCTTATCTAGACACAGCTTCAGTGTTATCAATCTGCTTTCAATGTAAATTGAGCATGTGAATGTTTTTGTTAATTTTTAGAATAGATTTGGGCTCACCTGTGACATTTGGAAGTACAAAAGAACTTCACCGAAGAAGCGTTGTTCTAATGGAAAAATGAGGGCAAAGAAATTAAATCTCCTTTAAGAAAATCACTTACTTAAAAAACATAGCTTACATTTTTTAAGCGTTTTATCTCTGCTTTCTCCTCTTGTTCCTTCCTTCGTTTCTTTTCCTGGAGAATTTCATCTAAAGTTTTCACTTTCCAAGAGTCCTTTTCATCACCCATTTGAGTTAAAACGCTGCAAAAAGAAACATAATTCAAGCGACCTCGGGACACAGCAAACTATGGTTTGATGCTCTGCTGCTTCTGAACTTAGTCACTTTTGAGTTTTCAGCATAAGTTCTCGTGAGGAGGGTTCTGAAAAGTGACTGTTGGCCTCTCGTCTCTTCTCGCTCCTCCGAGGTCTTGGGCAACAGTGCACTCGGCTTTCCCACCGATGGGAACAACACCTACCGAAAGGGATCGCGCGAGGATTACAGGAGATCATCCAGCTAAAAGCTCTTGGCTCAGTGCCTGGCACTCATCAAGCGCTGCCCTTGGTGTCAAAAGAATATGTCAGAAAGACCACTGGGCTAAATGATGGCACTGGCCGCTGGACAGCTGCACCCTCCGTCAC